ACTTACCCCATCTTTGATGAAGTTCCTGTTTTTAATAAAGAACAAGATGAAAAGAAAGCATTTATCTTTGAGGCAGCAAGGATATCTAATTTTCTTATCGATGGAGAGGCGGATAATCCAGATATTGACCTAATTCCAGAGGAGATCGAGCCTATGGAGATGTATAACAAAGAAACAGAAGCATACGTGATGTGCCTTAACGTGAAGTTTGAGCAATTTCAGCAAGTAGATGTGGCTAAAAAATCGACATACAACGACCCTTTCCTCGAGGGTTTCACAATTTTAGTGCACTATCGTTGTGTCTTGATTAGTGCAGTAACCCACTGGTTCCAAGATTGTGTTTACAACATTCGGATCGAAGAAGGTAGCAGGACTAATACAAAGTTGATCGCAGCACACTTCGAAACTCGAGGTTGAGGTTTCTCCAACCAAGGGAGAATGATGCAGATCAAAATTTGGATGCTACAAATTTTTAATTTTATTTTTGTTAACTTTATTTTTAGAGATTGAGTAGACTTTTTATTTTTATTAGAGTTCATTTCTTTAGAAATAGGATTAGTATTAGTTTTTTCTAGTGTATTTTGATAAGTCCATTTTTTGTTTCCTTCATTTTCTCACGTGAGTTGGTTTTAGATAGGTTTATCTTAGGTTGATGTTCATCTTTTATTTGGAAGAACTATTTACAAAGGGTTCCATCTAAAGAGATGGACGTGAGATAGAATGAATAGGAGGTCACGTAGATGGAAAGAAAGATAGGAATTTGGAAAGGAAGTAAAAGGATGGTTTTTTTTGTTGTTTTATTTGGAAGGTTATATAGAGTGCTTATCTTTTGTACTTTGGGAAATCTTTTGGAAGGTGTTGGCCCTTTATAAAAGAAAGATCCTACAATGTATCGGGGGGGGGATTGAATTTTATGAATGAAAAAAAAGTGATCTTTGAGATCGTGTAGAATGAGAGTGAGATTTCTTTGTGGGTGTTGCTTTTCTTCTCCTTTACTTATGGGCCTGTGCCGGAATACTCGTTTCCGTGCGTTTTGTTTTTTCTTCTTGTGATTTCCTTCACGGGTTTTATTTCTCTCTCTAAAACGCGGTTAATTTTTTCGGTGTTGTTTGCCGGGTAATTTTATACTGCGTCAGAAGCTCTCCAATGTTTTTGATGTTCCCAATTCTGGATCTTGATTCCATTGGAGGACTTCTTCATGAAAATTGTGTTGCTATGGTTGTTCTTGATGACCAATACATTCAGGAACCTTGTCCTAGCTATCTATTTGGGATATGCTCTAGTATATCAAACTTTTTATACTCATCCTATTGCTCATACCCTTCTAACACCTCATGTGATGTAATTATTGATGATTGGTAGGGGATGCAAAACCTTGGGTTCAGATAGGTTCTATAAAATTGCTATCTTAGGGATTCATGGTAAAGATTTAAACAAATTTAAGGAAGTCTCTATCTCACTTTTTTATGCATCACGTGAGATGAGATGGTCTATTTATAATATAAGATGTACATATTTTTGGATATACATGGGTTGTATTTGTTACAACCATAATTTGAATAGGTTTGACTTTATATTTGTTAGAACAATCACTTTGACTGAGCACATGTTTAGTGTGTGCTTGGAAAATCAGGTTAGCAGTAAGATAGGTGGCCCCCACATTGTCACACCAAAGAATAGGCTATTTATGTAAGAAGATGCCAAGTTCCTCAAGTAGCAATGGCAACCAAGTTAATTCTACAGAGGAACTAGCAAGTGCACGATATTCTGCCGCAATGTTGGAACGGGCCACAGTTTGTTGTTTTCTGGAGCTCCAAAATATAAGATTGGGGCCAATAGAAATAGCATATCCTCCATTGGATTTCCTATCATCAAAGCAACTGGCCCAGTCAGCATCAGACGTAGGTTGATGCAATGAATTGGTAGACTTTGTTGACACTATACGTAATATCAGATCGTGTGAGGGTCAGATATTGAAGTGCCTCAACAGTACTCCAATATAGTGTAACATCGTCTAGAGTTACCAGACTGAAAGGATAGCATCATAGATCTTGCGAGTGAAGTAGACATGTGTTTTGCCCCATCCATACCAGTCCGCTGAAGTAGATCAATAATATGCTTGCGCTGTGAGAGAACTAACTTGCCATCATGAGGGACGACTTCTATCCTTAAAAAAAAATGTAATAGGCCGAGATCTTTGAATGCAAATTCACGACCCAATTTATGGAGGATTGATGGAATGAAAATGCCACTATTCCCGGTGACAAGAATGTCATGTAAATAGATGAGAATATAGGCTACATAACTGTTATCATTGTAAATAAAGAGTGAAGTATCTGTTTTTGATCCCAAAAGCCAAGCTCCATGAGAAAGGTACTGAGATGGTGAATCCATGCTTGTGGGGTTCGTTTCAACCCATAAATAGCTTTTTGAAGGCGACAAACATGTGTCGGATGATGTTGATCAATGAAACCTGGTGGCTGGGCCATAAACACATCCTCTATAAGGTGGCCATGCAAAAATGCATTGTGTACATCCAGCTGTCTAATTGGCCATCCTTTGGACAGCGCAGTGCTCACTGCTCTTCTTATGGTAGTATGTTTGACAACTGGACTGAAAGGGTCTTCCATGATACCATCTGATCTAGGGAGGCTTCACGGTGGACAACAAACTAGTCTGCCAAATTTCTCCAATTTGTCATCACATTCTCACAAGCGACTTGAATGCTCTAACCAAGAGGTTCAACCAATCGCAAATGCCCAGATCCCCTCAACCTACTCCTCCAAGCTCCAGTGCCACTATACCTACACCACCCAGTACAACTAGAGCCCAAACATCAGTCTCCCAACCAATTACTTGTTGCTCCAACTGTACCCAGTATCTCGACCCACCATTGCCCCATCACTTCCCTGACCATACCCATTGAAGAGCACCCTTCTCATCCACACCGAATACATGCCATGCGCGCTAGATCTCTAGATGGCATCTTTAAGCCAAAAGCCTTTCATCCAAATATCTCATAACTAATGCCGGACCCCATGATGTTGAACCCACTTGCTTTTCTCAATCTAGCAAACATAAGGATTGGAGAGATGCCATGAGTAATGAATTTAACGCTTTAATCCAAAATGGGACATGAGTATTAGTACCATCCCGGCCCAACATTAATGTTTTTTACCTGTCGCAAGTTTTCCCCTAGGATGTGGATCTCTGGAAGGCATGATTTTCTTAAGGACTAAGTTACCTATCTTGAACTTCCTTTCTAAGACCGTATCATAAGCTCAACTAATACGTTTTTGGTAAATTTGGGCATGCTCAGCGGCACGTAGGCCTTTCTCATCCAAGAGTTTTTTTGTGCCAACAAAGCTTTCAACTTTTCACTATCAGTTAAGTCCTTGTCAATCTGGAATAACTAGGGCATTGACCTGTATCAATTTAGCTAGGAGAATAAGGAAGGCAGCTTAGATGAGTTTCTGGGGGAAGCTGCTACGACTTTTATTGGATCCACAGGAGGATATGCTATTTTTATTGGCCCCAATCTTATATCTTAGAGCTCTTGGAAACAAGAAACAGTGACGTCTTCCAGCACAGAGGTGAAATATCGTGCACTTGCTAGTTCCGCTGCAGAATTAACTTTGTTGCAATCGCGCTACTGGGAACTTGGCATCTTCTTAACGAGCCGCCTATTCTTTGGTGTGACAATGTGGGGGCCACCTATCTGCTAACCCGGTTTTCCATGCACGCACTAAACATGTGGAAATCGATTTTCACTTTGTTCGTGACAAACTATCGAAGAGAGATCTTGATGTGCGATTTATCTCAACAAAGGATCAACTTGCAGATGTTTTTGCAAAACCCTTATCCAGCAGCAGTTTTCAAGATCAACAGTCCAAACTTAATGTTCGTGATAGTACGTTGAACTTGAGAGGGTGTGTAAGGGGATAACCGATAATCTTTCAAATCATTGGGTTATCCCTAATAACTTGGTGAACCTCATTCAAAGTGATTGTTGTAACAAATATAAAGTCAAACCTAGGCAAATTATAGTTGTAACAAATACAACTCATGTATATCCAAAAACATGTACCATCTTATATTATAAATGGACCATCTCATCTCACGTGATGTATAGAAAAGTGAGATAGAGACTTCCTTAAATTTCTTCAAAATATTTGGGTTGTTCTATTATAGTGTCAGAGCGTTTTGAGAGAAGCAATCCGCCATCATGAGGGACAACTTCCATCCCTAAGAAATGTAGGAGGTCGGGATCTTTGAGCGGAAGCTCACGACCCAACTTATGAAGGATTTGTTAATGAGGATGACACTATTCTCAGTGACAAGAATGTCATTTACATAGATGAGAACATAGGCCACATAACGGTCATCATTGTAAACAAAAAAGGAAGTATCTTTTTTGGATCTCACAAAGCCAAGCTCGATAAGAAAGGTACCCAGACGGTGAAACTGTGCTCGTGGGGCGTGTTTCAACCTATAAATTGCTTTTTGAAGGTGGCAAACATGGGTTGGTTGGTGTTGATCAATGAAACCTGGCGGCTGAGCCATAAAACTTCTTTTGTAAGGTGGTGATCGATGAAACCTGGTGCCTGAGCCATAAACACTTCCTCTGTAAGGTGGCCATGCAAAAAGGCATTGTGTACATCTAGCTGTCTAATCTCACTTTTCTATAAAGATGTGAACAAAGATGTTGAAAAGTGTTTACAACAATCACTTTGAATGAGATTCATCAAGATATTAGGGATAACGCAATGATTTGAAAGATTATGGGTTAGCCCTTTACACATGGTCACGTTTGTTTGCATCCAAGTGAAACAGTAATCTACACCCATTCAACTGAAAGGGTCTGGTTTGATGGCTTGATGTGACAAACCTTGCTATAATATGTCATTTCCATTCGAAATGTTATTAGAGTTGAAAATGCTTGAAAACAGTAAATGTTTTTTGTTGTAGCTTCCTAATCCATCTCTGTAAATGTATTTCAGGAAGGTGGTCCAATTGCTTTGATCCAAAGTGGAGATTTCATCACTATTGATTGCGAGAAGCGGCGGATTGATGTTTCACTCACGGAAGAGGAGTTGAATGAAAGAAGAAAGAACTGGAGAGCACCACCATACAAGGTTGAACAAGGAGTTCTATACAAGGTTAGTAATTGTTTAATCTTTTGCTGAACTACATCTTAATGTAATAGTTTCTTTTCATTTGGTCACCAAAAGAAATTTTCATTTGCATTATATGCATTCAGTACATCAAGAACGTGCAGCCTGCTTCGAGTGGCTGTGTAACAGATGAATGAGCAATCTATCTCGGCCGATTTTGACATTGTGAGGAGTCCTGCACTCTTATCTTGGCGACAATGTGCTTGCAATTTCTGCTTCATCATCGGGAAATTAGTATATTTTAAGTGCCTTCGTAGTTTATATTTATTTTTTTTTTCTACTTCGATTTATGCTTCTTTATTCACTGGTGTAGGCAAAGAACGTTACATTTAAAGCAACTATATATTTAGTTTTGGGAATAGAATGTCCTAAGTTATTTCCAGTGGGACAGTTATCCCATGAAAACAACGGACATGTTGGACTGATCACGGTTTTGGCATGTTTTCTTGTTAAATCGCGAAAGCAGCAAATTATTTATAACTCTAGAGAAACTGAAAATTAGTATTAACTATCCATCTTAAAAAAATGGAGAAACAAGGTAAGGGACGGTGTTGCGCCCATATGATGTGTATGCTTGAAGGGTGCACAAGCACGTTTCAAAAGTTCAGATGGAACCTAGTCTTACCCAAGGATCACAAAATAAATTTTTTTAACTAAGATTATCTTTATCTGAAATTTTCAGGTATTGATTCAATTTTATATGACACATCCAATAAAAATAATAAAAATTATTTTGAACAAAAAAATTGAGTAAAATACCTTGGAATTATTTGGAGGTATTTTGGTTAATTATTTATTTATAGTATTTTATATTATGTTTATTTAGTGTGTATAAAAATGAATTTACACCTGAGAGACATTTAAATTTTAATATAAAAATAAGAAACAAATTTATTTTATGATTGTTGGTTACAATTTTATTGGATTCGAAAGGTTGCTTGTGCACCACCGTCCACATACATGATCTAGACTAGAGACGGTAGACAGGAAACCTTCCCGAAAAGAAAACCAAGAAAGAGATTGGTGCTCAAGTGCATCTATTTGCCACTGTCATTTGAAAAGGAAATAAAAAAATGATATGCTCGAGTGTTTACAGAGCCACATTTATATGTTTCAAAAAAAAATTCTTAGATTGAAGAGAGAGTATCAGATCCAATCCGTTGGCGATGCAAATCTTGGATTTTGGATAAAGTTGTATAGGAGAGCACGTTGATGAAATTTAGTTTTTGCCAGTGTGGATTATTTTGCTCACTCGTTTGTGAAACTTGTATTTGTCAATTTCATTATATTTCAAGCTATAAAAAGTTTGTTTTCTTTTTGTTTAAGTCATTTGTATCTTTAAAATCTCCTCACAGTTGAAAGGGTAAACTTTTTTAGTAATTTGTTTAAGCTTAATGGTTTTGTGTTTCAGGGGGAGCAAAATGTCCACTTGATCCTCGGGCAAAAAATCCAGGTTAGAGGGTATTTTTAGGGCCTCAAATTTTGGGGATTTATCCTCTACAACTAGAGACCAACTAAAAAAAATCACACAATTAACATCGCAAAATAAATTTACGCTTATCCAATTTTTGGGCGACAGAAATTTATATGCTACGTAGTTCATAAACCTTTGTTCTAAAAATAATTTTCTGATCATTTTTAAATGGATACCAAATTTCGGGTCCCAAAAATCTTTTTGAGTACCTTTTTTTTCAACGGTGGGATTACTAATATTTGGTATAAGATGGTAAGATAGGCGACAATTAATATTGATAATTGGATGTAAAATTGGGTGGTTGTATTTATTTTATTGATCCAACTCAACACTCAAAGCTATTAGATTTCATATGGAATAGATATAAGTAATTGTGATTTTTTTTTACCAAAGGTAAATAGTCTCATTGTATATAATATCATAAAAGTTTGCTCGTGTAAAAGCATGGTATAAGTACCCTTCGTTTAAATCATGTCATGTAATTTTATCGTTCGATTTGAAAATATCTATTAATTTTTACTTAAGATTGTTACTTTGAAAGAGATCACTTTATTTTTTAAATAAAAAAAATAAAACATGATTTTAACAATTGAATAGAAAGTGTCTTTTAACTCCTTTCTCTTTTATCCATTTGCTAGCTATGCCTTTTCTCATTCTATTTCCAGCTCCTCTCAAGTCGTGCCCTTTCTCGCTTTATCTCCCTTTTCCCACTTTAGTTTAGTTTTTTGCTCTAGAATCTCATTTTCTCTCCAAATGTAGCTTTTACCTCAAAACACCTCCCTATGCCCTTCATCTCTGCGACTCTTTTCTCTAATTGTGCACTTCTCTCTCTACTCGTATGTTTGGCAAGCTCTGATTTGAAAACGACTACTATTTTTCGGAATCAACGTATCCAGTATATGGGGCCAAACGGGGAAATGCATCTCTAGGATTTCGATCTCCAAAGGAGTGCCAAAGAGGTTCTACTGAAATTGGACGATCGGAGCAGGGGTTGAGTAGGTAGGTAGCTCTCTTAATCAAGAAATCGTCGAGGCTTTAGCAGGAGGCTCAATTTTCACCTACTACTCAATTTGATCATTCGGTTGGCTTTGCTGGAATTAAGGACGGACAGTCAATGGGCCCTTTCTCTCTCACTTCTTCTTCTTCTTTTATTTTATTTTATTTTTTGGGAGGGGGGAGCTATTTGGATCCATGGAAAAGGATTGTCTAGATATGTATTTCTTGAGAAAAGTATTTTCTATAAAATAAATTTATGTTGTTTGGATAGTAGTATGGTACATGGATGCATAATATTTTCATGTCTTTTTTTTTTTCTTTTAATTTACTTTTTTGTTAAATGCTTTTAATTGTATTATTATTATAAGGAAAAAGTTTATATAGAGCCGAGGCTGCAAACAATCAAATTAGAGCCCAACTCAAAACTTTTACTAGAAGAGGTTGTTTTGATACACAAATATCCTCTTATTGATCATCTCGACATCAAGATGTATGGACCAAAAAAAAAAAGATTTCAAGTTTTAGAAATAGTGTGCCTTGTAGTACATTTTTGGACCGTCAATTTTCAAGATTTTCAAGTTTTTATAGATTTGCCCGATCTACACTATTTTTTAAGCTTTAAATTTTATAATTAAAGATGAAAACCCATCTTGAGGCTATCACAAATATTTGTAGTATTGAAACCACATTTCTAGATTCTATTTGAAGGTGTGTTTTACTTTAACTGTTTAGAGCCTCGACTCTGTACAAACTGTACCCAAAAATTTGATATAGTTTTTCTATCGAAAATTTTAAGAAACGTTTTATCTCTAAACTTAAAATTTAAGATAGTTTCTCTCTCTAAAATTTTTCAAATACTTTCTTTCTTTAAGACTTAAAGTTTTTTCTCTTATTTCGAAATACTCTCTCTATAAATTTTTAGATAGTTTCTCTTTAAAGAATTTTTAGGGTACTTTATCTGTAAAACTTAAAATTTAAGACAATTTCTTTTTCTAAACATTTTTAAGTACTCTCTTTAAAACTTATAATTGAGATAGTTTTTCTCTAAAATTTGATGTAGTTTCTCTCTCTAAAATTTGATATAGTTTTTCTCTCTAAATTTTATTATATTTTTTCTATCTAAAACTTAAAATTTGAGATCATTTTTTTCTCTAAAAGTTTTGAGATAGTTTCTCTATCTAGAACTTAAAATTTGAGATATCTTCACTCTCTAAAATTGTGTAATATTTTCTCTCTAAAATTTTCTAGTGCTTTCTTTGTCTATAACTTTAAATTTGAGATGGTTTCCCTCTCTAAATATAGTTTCGCTCACTAAAACCTGAAATTTGAGATAGTTTCTCTCTAAAAATCAAGAAGTTTCTCTAATTAAAGCTTCAAATTTGAGATAGTTTCTCTATCTAAAAATTTTAAAACAATGTCTCTCCCTAGAAATTTTTAGGTACTTTCTCTCTCTAACATTTCGTATAGTTTCTCTCTCTAAAATTTTAAGATTCTTTTTCTAAAACTTAAAATTTGAGATAGTTTCTCTCTATAATAATTTTGAGATAATTTCTCTCTAAAAAATTTCATGTAGTTTCTCTCTCTAAAATTTTAAAATACTTTCTCTATTTTGTTGGAGTGTTTTGGTAGAATTAATTTTATTTTATAAAGTGGGTGTTTCTGTCTTGCCAATTAATTTTATTTTTTTAAAGTGGGTGGGAATTAAAGTCCTGCCCTCCAATTTGATTCTTATCGTGGATAGGGATGTATGTTTGGAAGAGTTAAAAAAAACTGTCTTTGCTCTCTCGAGCGATAAGGCCCTTGTCCTGATGGCTTCCCTCTAATCTTTTTTCAAAAGTTTTGGAATTTGATAAGTGGTGGGCTCTTGGAAATGACTAGCGGATTCCTTAGGAGATAATATCTTTTTAAAAGAGTAAACTCCACCTTCGTTGCTCTGATCCCTAAAAAGTCAGTTATAGCCAATTTGGGAGACATCTGACCCATTAGCCTGTTGACGAGCACCTACAAAATAGTGGCTAAGGTTTTGGTTGAGTGCTTGAAGGTGGTTCTACTAATCATTATTTCTGGCCCCTAATCTGCCTTCATCAAAGATAGGTTGATTTCTGACAGTGTTTTGATTGCACAAGGGTGTATCCATTCACAAATGCTTTATGGAGGCTCTGGAGTAGTTGTCAAACTAGACATGGAAAAGGCTTATGATAAGATAAAGTGAAATATTCTATTAGAGATAATGGGGTTTTAGCGATAAATGGAGACATTGGATATTTGGAAGCCTATCTTCAGCCCATTTCTTTATTTTGTATAAAGGAAGTCCGACTGGGTTCTTTAAGGCTACTCGGGGTTTTTGCCAAGGTGACCCTCTCGCTCTTTTCCTCTTCATTCTTTATGCTGAATGTTTCAGTTTAATGTTATCTAATGTTGCAAGGAGTGGATATTTTTTCGGTTTTCAACTGGTTAACGGAGGACCTTCTATTTCTCACTTGCAATATGCTGCTGACACATGTTATTCTATGAAGCTCAAATTGTTGTGGTTAGCAATATTGCAATTTTTTTAAGTTGCTGTGAAGTTGCCTTAGGACTTAAGGTTAACTTTGGGAAAACTGCAGTTGTTGGCTTGAATTGCAGTGATGAAGTGATAAGTTCAATGGCACAGGTTCTAGGGTGCAAGGTAGAAAAGTTTTCGATCATATATTTGGGAATGCCATTCTCGGATAGCCGACTACCAATTCTTCGAGGAAATTCTTCAGCAAATCCAACCAAAATTTGACTTGTGGAAGTTTAAATATCTCTCATTTGGGAATAGGATTACTCTTATTATACTTGTCGAACTTACCTATATATCAGATATCAATCCTACAGATCCCTTCTTCTGTGGCTAAGGGAATTGAATTGAGGATGATGAACTTTCTGTGGGGGCCCTTTACGGAGACGAGGAAATTCCATCTTCTTCGATGGGATAGAGTGTGCACGCCTAAAAGGGATGGTGGTCTTGGGATTAGGAAAAT